AATGGAGTTGATCGATCGGTTGGGACACAAGCGCGCGCGTGCACGCGTGCCTGTTCAATTGGCCTTGTCTCCACAATTTCCCCACAAAGCCCAAAACGCCTACTGTCAGTTGTTATTACTACACGGCCATCACTGCTGCCCACATGTGTCTGTGTGCTTGCTGCCTGAGCTATTTTTTCCATTCCTATAGCTTATACCTCACCTACGCATTACAGACACGGGATGGTCCATTCACTCAAAAATCCAAACAAATTCCACTTTAACTGTTATATATATATATATCATTATTGGGATTGCGTAGCACATGTGTGTATAGCTTTAACCAGACAGAGCGAATGCGACGCCCCGTCGATTGCGATCGACAGAGAGACAGCACACGAATCAGTTTGGTATTTTGTCCGCTGAAATGTAGGCATACAACTAGCTGTCACATGCACTGAGCAAGACATGCGGCGCTGGCGAAGACATGCGCGCAAAATTGTCCCCGGGGTTCGTAGGATTAGTTTTGGAATGCAAGAAAAATAATCTTCTCTTATGTGTAAAACCCTGTCGCGCAGTGCTACCGACGGAGGGACCGGTCAATCAATTGGGATCATGCGAACGAGGCTCGGAATGCAGTTTGTGGGTGAGCAAGCATGTTAGAGACAAGGACATTGTAGTGCGGGTTGCGGTTTAGGAGTCAAGGAACATGATCTTACCCTGTGCTCCGATCACCTTGGTTGCATCCTTGAAACCGATGTGTGCGTCCGGATTCGAGATAAAGTGGATCGGGCACCGGAGGAGGACACGAGATGAGCAAGAGGAGCACGAGGTGAAAAAAATCAAACAGTCGGGAGAGAAGGAGAGAAACATAAAATAACATTTAGCAAGTCATTGGTACAAGTAAAAAGCTAAGTAATTCAAACAATCTTGGGAAAATATTTTAAACAAATGGCTCTTAATGAAAATAAGACAACGTGATATAACCAAAGTTTGTAGATTAATGAAGCTAAGAAGAATACCGGATTTAAGCTTTCTACTTCCATTAAGTTTTAGGTTCTGAAAAGTTATCGGAGAAAAATTTTGTTTATCAAATTCACTATGGGGTTCTTGGCAAGTCACGGACCGATCTATGAACAATCAATTACAATCCACATTCATAGAGTCACTTTACCGTATCAAATTTTTAGCTAGATCGATCGGCGTAGATTCTTTTGGGTTTATGTTCCGTAGAATGCTCGTCAATGTGTAAACGAAACCCGATCAGTTGAGTTTGCATGCAGCATGTCTGAGGAAAGATATCCTCTAACGGGATCAAGGTGGCCAAGTCAGAATTAATTCTGTGGTTCAAATGATGGTGTCTATCACGCAGTCTATTTCCAGTTAAGTGGTAATCCGAATTGATTAGATTTTTTTGTTGGAAGGGAGTAGGCACCGGCACACACACTATATATAGTTCATTAGATAGAACGTGAATGTGTTCGACCGATTACGGCAATCAGGTTTAAGCCCATTCGTAGAACGAGTCAATCGAAGTGAGAAGGGTCACACGGTTATCTTATGTGTTGACCCGCCTTTTAGGAACGACCTGTAAAGTGCCAAATCAAATCTTATGATCCGCTCACAAGGATGATCAGTGAGTGCTTCGGGGTATTAGTTTATCCATCAATAGGGATGTAATCAACACGTTTATTCTGACCAGGATTTTCCTAACTCTATTGCTTTCTACCGTGCTTGTTATATCATAGTGGTGCGTATTTAGGATAACTAGAAATTCCAGGCAATGAGATTTAAATAGCCAATCTCTTTTCATTGTTCGCACTTAATTTTAACAGGAATAACGATGATTAGTTTCTTTGATACAATGAACTGAATTAGGAAAACCTAGCTCACATTTTGTTCTCATTTCTCCGTTCCCGCAAATTCGGTGTTCTTCTGTGTTTATAAAAGTGAAATGAATGATATTATTTTGCACCACTGCTATTGTCGGCTTGAGGTCGTACCGTGTGTGCACATACGAATACTGGGTTAAAAATACCACGACCTGGATAAGCCTACAATTATGGTCAGTGTTACCTAAAGACCTGATTTATCAGGAACTGGCCAATATTTCTTTTATTCCATGAAACACATCCATTTAACTATATCGTTTGGAAAAACGATATTTTTGATGTAACAAATACTGATTCTGAATAAATTACAGATATTCTAAGATTGCCTGGGAAAGCATAGCCATGGGCAAATTTCATTGGATGGTGAAACTGTGAGCAAGCTATTTTAATGTCTTAAAATAGTGTGGGATATAAATGACACGTTGTATGATCAAACGGGTAAAAATGACTGTTAAACCACATTCAATCGCGTGATTTTCAGTAGAAAATATGAATTGTAAATTGGAATCTTTACCAATAGAAATTAAGACACTAAACCATAAGGGAATACAAGTGAGAATGCGGGTGTGGGTGAAAGGATGGGGGAGTAGACTATGAAGTGGTGCCGCGAAGAAAACAGTGTGTTAACAATTACCTGGTCAATTTTCTCTATCAATCGAATTCTAGTTATTTTCCGATCTAAGATCCACGTTTTTTCATTGCTGATTTAAACACACAAGGTAATTGTTGACGAAAAATCAATTCCTCCAATATTTTTCTAAACACTTTTGGATCTATTGTCATTGATTTCTACATGGAAAGTAATATTGTGCTTCGTTTCCCTGGGCACCGATTATAACCACCACGTTTTACTAGGTTGCACAGACAAATGAACGTTCACACTTGGGTCTAACCAGTTTGCATTATTAACAACTAGATAGTCGAACTGGAGATATACGCCACGTGATCTATCCTACAGATTTCGGAGAACCAGTGGAAATGATGTTACAAGCATTTGGATTAGGCGTAAAATGAAGCGCTTCTGTCCGCAACAGTTACAAGATTGTTCCCTACCCACATAAGATCTATGCTTCCCAGTCTCGAATGGTGTATGCAGAGAACAAAATTATTATTAGATTCAGTCACGTGATGCTCATATTTGACAGGGAAACAGTTAAGTAAAGTAAACCACCGTGGTCAAAGAACAGACACTCCTCACCTGTATCCAAACATATGGCTGCAGACAGTTACCACTTATGTGGCACACTGCTAAGAGAACATTACGCAGCAATTTGCTCCAAATGATAATCTGTGTTTTGGTCCGCATCTTTTTTAACATTCCAGTTCCTCAACTGTGCTTCAGTTTTTATAGGTATAGGTTTAAAAAGATGCACATAATCACACATCCGTTCTCGGAACAAAAATAAAATAAACAAATCAGAAACCTGTGGAGATGTATCTTTGTGGAATACAACCATATATCTCACAGCCTATTTGTTCCTTACCGTCAGATTGATAAACCGTAAACATAAATACAATTGATAACAGATCTTACAATGGAATCGCTCCTCAAGGTCCACCACCACGGTTGACAATTTGCTGGTCGATAAGTTAAATCATAAATGATACGACCTTTCAACAAATTCAGAGGTTGGTCATGTCCCGTGGTGGTCACCTTGGCCGCATAACCATGTGCAACAGAGGCGGGATGTGATAGGCGTATGATGTATTCCCTTGTCACATCAAACACCGAAA